TGATGGTTACTTTTGACTAAGAATTACCAAATCTACAAATTAATTGGCGTCCTTATAATTATTGGTGTATGTGGTGGTGGTGGGTGGCAGTATGGCGGTGATACAGGTGGCAGTGTTGTGGTGTGACTGGGGGAGGTGGTCATGGCAGTGGGGGAGGAGGTGGTCATGGCAACGGGGGAAGAGGTGGGTGGTGGTGACGAACCTACAATAGTGGAAAGAGGCATAGTTAAAGTTTAATCAGATTAAAAAAATTATTTTAAAAAAATAAAAAAAAAAAGTATTCAATATAATAATTTCATAATTAATGACTAATTAAAAGAAAGACAATTACCTAAAATAACTATTGTTTCAATTAGCCGTATGATTATATCCTAAAGTTATGAGTAAGAGTGAGTATATTGCACTCTGCTCACCATGGAGGAATTGAACACTATTGTGTGTATATATATATATGCATAAATTAACAAGAGCGGAGTCAATGTGCCTGGGGCACTTGCCCCTGGCTAACCTGTCCACTATTATATATAGTTATTTTATAATTTATTTTTACACATGTATGAATGAAATTTTCTATAAAATGCCCCATAAAACTTTTAATTTTAATTATATCTTTTTTTTCCCCTTTTCTTTTTTATTCTTCAAAATTCTTTGATTTCTAAAATAAATAAATAAAAAATTAAATTTCTCTACTTCAAGTAAACTCTTTTTCTTTTCTTTTTTTCTTTTAAAGTTCTCATTTTCCTACTTAAAAATTTTCTTTTTGTACTTACGTATAAATATATGTAGTATGCAATTTTTTAATAAAAATATTACAGTACTAAATAATATTTTAATTCTTATATTTATTTTACTACTCATTCAATTAGCATATTATTTTTGCATTATTCGTCATGTTAGTGATTTTTTTTCTTTTTTACAGCAGGACCCTCTTGAATTGTAATCCTGTGACTTTTCTGTAGTTTTCTGTATTATGCCATTTGATTGAAAATTACATTTTCATTCATTTTTATATGCTATCAAACACAAAAATTAAAAAAACATTTTAAGTTCAAACAAATATATTATTTGATCATAGAGGTATTGGTTTGATTCTTTTATTCCACTCACTTACTCAAACATCTCATACTTACGGCAAGAGCTAAGATTTAACTTCTAGAATTTTTCACCTAATTATAATATCCATATTTACAAATTATCTATTCTTATAAAATCTTCTCCAATCTATCAATTTATGCAAACTCTTTGTTATTGTTAAATTCTTTATTTCTCTACAACACTCCATACTTTCTTATTATTTATATCGTTGAAATAAAAATATATAATCTATAAGAAAAGAAAAATATTATATGTGTAGTCAAGTTTTTAAACAAAAAAAAAGTATCATACCCAAATGCATTAATCCCAAGGGATTGTTGGCCTAGTTGAAAAAGACTTGAATCATGGTGCCTTATGAAGTATCAGGTCTTAGTATGATTCCTATTCGTAATTTTTTATTCCATTTTTTTTTTTTTTTTTTTTAATGTTTTCAAATAAGAAATTTATCATATGTCTACCAGAAACCTACACATATATATGATCAGGCCTCCCTGGTTGATGTCAAGGGGACAGTTAGTTCCTTCTTAAATTGTTCAATTCCATTAATAGTTGCATCTATTCAACAAATTTATCAGACTTCCGCCTTTTGCATTTCTTTATATAGGAGATGCGATGCATATTGGTCATCTCTCTTCGACAAATCAATCTATTTTCTCTACATTATTTTTGTAACACTTAAGAGTGTTTTATATGTATATATAACACTTAAGGCTTAATTAGAAAGGGACGAAACATAATGTGACAAGGTTTTATATGATTGGTAGCAAAGAAATAATTGCATTTTAGTTCCGTCCACAACTCTACAAGCATTATACTTTGTTGGTGCACCTAATTGCAAAAATGCATGTATTCCTAAGTAGTCCAATAATATTGTAATCTTTTTTTTTTCTTTTTTCTTTTTTCAATAATATTGTAATCAGCCACATTTTTCTTTCCATCTAACATTTTCATCATAAAGCTAGCAATTTAGATCAGGACACCCCTAAACCAAGAGCTTTGTTTGAGCTGGATATTTTGAACAAGTCCCTTTCTATAAGGAAAGCTCGAAGCACTAATTTTTTTTTTTCTTTTGGAAGGTATCGAAGCACTAATTAATTTCTTCGCATGCTCGATCACAAAAACATGGCCCCACATAACATAAGTAAATAATTGGTTGTATAACATATAAGTAATTTTTTATAAAAATATTGCTTGCGAAAATCTATTTATTATGTTCATACAAAATGGTGAACTAAAATAAATGGTATGACACTTATGAAATGAAATTGGTTGGTGCCCTGAGACTCAACATAATTGTTTTTACAAAAAGAGTTGTAATCCAACCATTCTTTTTTTATGCACAAATTTGGAGATTCAAGTTTTGATTAAAACATGTGAAAATGTGAATTTCTTTGGAAAATAAAATGTAATAATTATTTGAGTTATAAATAATTATGACACATATAATACCCAAATTATATTCTACCACTGATATATACACAGAAAATTTTCCCATCTCTATGATATATACTATATGATACTGTATCACTCATCACATGCAGCCTCCAAATATTCCCGACCAAATTATATTCTTAAGCAAAATTAGCGCTCAAGCGCGCGCGCGCACACACATATATATAGGGATGGCAACGGGACGGGTTTGGAACGGGTTTCCTAAATTCTGCCCCCTGCCCTGCCCTTTTTAATTTTTGTTAAGTCTATGCCCGCCCCGAGACTCGCGACGGATTGGATTTTCGTGTCCAGCCCCGCCCCGTTGAGAAATATTGTGCCCCCATGCCTGCCTCACTAACAAATTTTTTTCTCCCACTTTTTGGAACTGAAGCTCCTGCTATTTAAATGTGGAAAGTCTGGGAATGGCACAACATAAATGAAATTATGTATCTCAACAAAAATAAAAAAATAACATGCACATAACATAATTCAGATAATGTAATAAACAAAAATAAAAGTTTAATACAACCAAATCGCAAGAAGTTCTAAACTCCAACTTCTACCATAACCAAAATAAAAGAAAATTTAATACCAAGTTTACATCCAAATTAAAATTGTAAGAAATGGGTAAATGTGTAAGTCGCTAAAATAAGTTTTATATATATATATATATATAATTATATACTTAACGGGACAGGGCGAGGCCCCTAGGATATGTATACTGAACCCTTACTCGCTACATGACCCGCGACGGGTACAAAATTTATATCCATGCCTACTCCAACAGTATAAAAAGTGTTCTCATATCCGTTATGGACGGGACAAGACCCCAACGGGCGGTAAAAATTGACATCCTTATATATATATACATACATACATATTATATAGTATGTATATATATGTATATTTGTATCTACGTACCAGAAGAGAAATTATTGAATATTCCGAAAGTATGGTACCCTGGGTAGTGAGAGCCATTAGATTATAGATGTGGTAATGGGCCCCACCACATCCAATGGTTGGGATGCCCTGGGTACCATACTCCGGTATCCAATAATTTTTCGTACCAGACCCCAAATCTTAACACTTGCCTGATGACCGTGGAAAGGAGAATATGATCAGGACTGAAAAAGGATTTCTAAATGAAGGTGGGAATTGATTCCTAGGCCTAGGACTGAAACTACAATTATTTGTGAAATATATGCGGAGCAAAAGTCATTACTTAAGTGAGAATCATACTAAATATTTGTTGTAATATTGTATTACACAAACTTCGACATGACTCTGTTTACCTATAATAAAATATAAAATAAAAGCTTTGGATATTTGTCTATGCTGAATTTCCATGTGTCTATTTTCTACACACTTCTATCTCTGACTCTTCAACACCCCCATCCACCGCGTTCGCCCTTTCATCTATCTTCAGAATTCAGACAATAGCAATGACGCGCGTGTGTGTATGTGTATATATATATATATAGACACGCACACAAATTACTAGCATTGTTTATTCCAATTAATAGTGATGCAACCAGATTTGTATTTATCTACTACTACATTACTACTTCTAGTGGTGAGTCTGGTGACAAGAGTCGTCTTCTTCAATGGAAGTGGTAGGATGAAAAATGGTGGAGGAGAGCAAAATTTGAAACTATTTTTACGTAAAATTTAAATAGAAGTGTGCATGTTTATATTTCTTAATTTGTCCAAAGCCCAAACTTCCATCAATATATTAATATATATACATATATATATACTGTTACGACTACATGAATTTTCAGTTTTTTCTATATTGACAAAGAAAAGTAAAAATTTTGCACCACTCAATTTGTTACTTCAACTCTTAATTTTCTACCATCTAATAAATATGAAAAAGTACCACTTAATTACAAAGATTGGTGGAAGGAATTTTTTTAACTTACAGTTACATGAGTTGTGAAATAATTTATATATTAAAAAACAATACTTGCATTTTTATATGTAAAAATAATATAAACTTTTCGTCCCTAAATTTTTTTTTTCATTTTTTCACTGCAAAATTAAATAATTATTGTTTTTTTCAATGACACCTTCTTCATTTTTAAAATAAAAAGTTAAGGGTTCAAATCTCTACATTGGGTTCATGGATTTATTTGTAATAATAATAAAAAAAATAATTTCTTTAATTTTCTTTCAACTCCTTACATTGTTTGTGACCCATACATCTCTTTATATATAATTTTCTCATGTTAAAACTGTGATCCCAAAAAGAAGAGACAGTATTAAGTAGGTTGAGAATTGATGCCATGATAATATATATATAACCATACTCAAAATGAATATAATAAATATAGAGCTAGGAAAGAGAGAGAAAATCCAAATACAAAAAAAGACCAACTAAGCCACGAAACTACCACCCAAGTGCATGAATCCAACCCGGGCCCACTGTCTGTCTATATATACCACAAAACCTCTCCCATCTTTACTCACTCCCGGCCACAAAAACCCCCCAACTCTATCAATAAATCCATCAAAATGCCGTCTTCTTCAGTTGCCATCCTCTCCAAATGCACTGTCTTCCCAGATCACAAATCCAACTTAAAGAGACTCAAACTCTCTGTCTCTGATCTCCCAATGCTCTCATGCCAATACATCCAAAAGGGTGTCTTACTCTCACGCCCACCTCATCTCCAATTCGACTCTTTCATCCCTCTCCTCAAACTCTCTCTCTCTCTAACTCTCTGTCACTTCCCCGCCCTCGCCGGCCGACTCTCCACCGACCCCGACGGCCATGTTCAAATCCTCTGCAATGACGCCGGCGTTGAATTCGTTCAGGCCCGAGCCAAACACCTCTTCATCGACGACATTCTAGCCCCTCTAGACGTACCCAATTGCTTCAAACAGTTCTTCACCTTCGACAACACTCTCAGCTACGCCGGCCACTATAAGCCGTTGACCGCCGTCCAGGTCACTGAGCTCGGCGACGGCGTCTTCATCGGCTGCACCATCAACCATGCCGTCGTTGACGGCACTTCCTTCTGGAATTTCTTTAACACCTTCGCGGAGTTCACCAAAGGCGCCAAAAAGATCTCCAAGTCGCCGGAATTTTCCCGGGACACTGTTTTTAATTCTCCGGCAGTTCTCCGATTCCAGGAGGGTGGACCCACTGTGACGTTCTCCGGCGACGAGCCGTTGCGTGAGAGAATTTTCCATTTCAGCAGAGAAGCCATTTTGAAGCTCAAATTCAGAGCCAATAATAATCAATCATTTGAAAAAGCTGAAATTACTGAAAAATTCGAACTTTTGGGAAAAGAAAGTAATGACAGTTGGAAAGTCGTTAACGGTATGACTAACGGCAATAAAACGTCCCTTTTGACAGCGAATCGGAAGGCTGAGATTTCATCATTCCAGTCGCTCTCTGCTCAGCTGTGGCGCGCTGTCACACGTGCGAGGAAACTCGCGGCAGCAAAGACGACGACGTTCCGGATGGCGGTGAACTGCCGACACCGGCTAGAACCGCGGCTCGAGCCGCTCTACTTCGGGAACGCGATTCAGAGCATCCCGACCGTTGCTTCGGCCGGCGAGCTCTTATCCCGTGATCTGCGCTGGAGCGCTGATCTGCTGCATCGCAACGTGGTAGCGCATGGTGATGCTACTGTGCGCCAGGGTGTGAAGGATTGGGAGAGCAACCCAAGGTTGTTTCCGCTGGGGAACTTCGACGGTGCAATGATCACCATGGGTAGCTCACCGAGATTCCCCATGTATGATAATGATTTTGGGTGGGGCCGACCTTTGGCAATCCGGAGTGGTAGGGCCAACAAATTTGACGGTAAGATCTCGGCTTTTCCAGGACGAGATGGAAATGGGAGCGTTGATCTTGAGGTGGTTCTGGCTCCGGCGACGATGGCGGGTCTAGAGGATGACATGGAATTCATGCAATATGTGTCGTAGATGGTGACGTGGCAAGATCAGAATGTTGATTCGACGCTCTAATGCTGATGTCAGCTCAATGTTTCACCCCTAGAGTCAAATGATGGACGGTGTTTCTTGGTAAATGATAAAAAGTTCATTTCGCAGTCATGGTTTTGTCTCCTTTGCCATGTAGTAGCAGTGGCGGATGTTGTTTACTACTACTACTACTAAATTTGTTGCTCCTTTCCACTTCACTTCGCTAGAGATTTAGAATTCACATTTCCAATATAGTATTTTCCATTATTCTAATATATATAATAATGAGTCGTGCAATCCCAAAATGTAGGGTGTTTTACCTCGTAAGGAAAACTTTGTACAGTTGGCAGAAACAATGTCATTTTCAATCATTAGCATAAACAATTAGGGAGAAACATAATTTAGTTAGTTGTCCTTTCCTTTTATGGGAATAGAAATTGTAAATCCCAAGTCAATTGGCATGTCCAAGTGAATTCAACTTTTATCAAATCATGGATGAAAAATACAACAACAATTTATGTGGTGGTTCACCAAAAAAAACATATTGAAAAGAATGTACATATTTGTTTCTCATGTGCATACGTTGTTCATCTACCACTGTTTTATGAGGCACAAGTCATCAAATTTCTAAAATTTTGATCAAATTGTAAAGCAATATTGGAACTGCTATAATCAACTTTTCATTTAAAAGGTGTTATAAAATCATTTGAAATAGAGGGTCGGGGCTAAAGGGTTTGATTTAATCAACGTACAAAACTATAAAAATATTAAATGGAATATTCATTTTAATTATTATTATTATTATTATTTTGTATTCAATTTAAAGTGTGAATGGTCATTCTATTAGAATAAAAATTCATTTCACAACTACACCTGTTGAATGGCCATTTCATTCCCAACTAAATTTTTTTAAAAAAAATTTAGTTTCCAAAATACCCTTATATCCCAAGTCCAAAAATTATTGTCACCACCACCACCACCAACAACTTTCCACCACCACCTTCTGTTATCACCACCGCCGTTTTTCACCCCTGCCACCTCTACACATTGCCTTCTACTACTGTCACTGCCATTGTCACCATGGTTGCCGCCTTCAACCACCAAACCGTTGATGCTCCACTGCCTTCCACGACCACACTATTGCTGCCACCATCACCACCTTCCATCAATACCGCCTTTCACCACCATCACCATTACCACCACCACTACTTCTACCACTGTGTAATGTTTGAGGTTTTCTTATATATATGTGTGTGTTAAGAGGATTTTTTTTATTTTAGCTGTGGGACCCACAATGTTTTTTAAGTGGTCATGAGACCACATTTTGGTCTCTGTTTCCTCACTCTCTCTCCCTACTGGTTTGCTTCTCTTTTCCTCTCAGCTTTCTTTTTTTTTTTTTTTTCTTTTTTTTTTTTCAATTCAAGGCTTCAATCCTCGATTCCTTCTTCAATACTTGGTATTTTTGAATGCTATTTGCGGCAAATTGAAGCTCACGACGAGGTCTACAAGTTGATAGGAGCAATTCCTTGATTGGTGCACTATAGGAAATTCAAAATCTAGGGCATAAAATTGCGATTTTTTTCCCTCCTTTGAGGTAGGGGTTCTTAATGTACAATTTCTTGCACCTTAGTAAATTTCCTTCTTGATTTTGCTACTTAACATGCTATTTTGTGTTGATCTTCTTGTAAATGATTAAATTGTTCTAAATGAATTACATGACTATGTGTTTTAATTGACATTATGTGTAATAACATGCTTGAATGATATAAAATTCATATCTTACATGTTTAATCCTGCTAGTTTATTGTTGAATGTAAGTAATGTGATAATTTCTTTGAAATTCTTGTAAAGCATGTAACATGGCATGAGTTTGAAATTACATGTGTGTTGATAAATATTGGCATGGCATGAAAATATGAAACATACATGCACTTCATTGGGAAGAAATTGGGAATGTTGTTTTGAAATAAAGAAATAGGCTTTTGGGAAAGATTTTGAAAAGGTTTTTGTGAAAAAAACCCGGTCGCCTAGAAGTTGACTAGGGACCGCGGCGTTAGTGAGGCCTAGACGGGACTAGGGAGATCGCCCTAGTGTGATTGAATTACCTTGGCCCCAAATGACGCCATGGAGTTGCCATGGGTCAGGGACAGTGACCAATCCTCCTCTTATGCTGCCATGGAGTTGCCATGGGACGGGTTCACTAACGTTTTGAAAATGATGATGGAAATGGTTTTGGAAAATGGGGAGTAACATTGCATAGCATGGCATATCATTGCACGGCATTTTCATTTGTGATATCGGATTAATGATGTGGTATTGTGGTTATATTTTTTCCCTGGTATGGTATGATCCCAATTTCTTTATTCCTATTTATTGTGTGGATTCACGGGGTCTTAAGAGGTGTGTCTTAGGCACTTCCTACTGAGCTTATACTCACCCCTTCATTTTAACATTTTTCAGGAAAAGGGAATGTAGTGGCGGATGACGTTCCACCACAGGCCTAGCATGAATTAGAAGATCTTTTTGCTGTTTTTGTACCTAAGTTTCACTATTTTTGTAAAACTTAGCATATTGTATTATGTACTGAGACTTATGGACTCTTGTTATTATAGTTATATTCATGGACTGAAATTTTAATATAAGTTGTCTAAACGTTGTAAGATATGGACTTTTGATCTTAATTATATTTTTGAGACTGTAATTAAGATATTTGGATTAAATAGCCTGTAATTGTTCCACCATGAGCTGAACTATGTTGAAGCATAATGAATAGATGAAGGAAATATTGAAATGTATTATTTGCATTGTGTTGGAACAGGTTAGGTAAATTTCAAAAGTTCAAGAGAGGCTTTTGCATTTTTATGCATTTAAGTAGGTTATCGTAGGACTCCTTTTTAGCAGAGGTCATGCCGAATTTTTTATATATAATTGGTATCAATTTAGGATCATTACACACTGCCTCTCCCACCTCCTTCCACCAACACCACTTCCGCCGTCGCCACCACCATAACTGTCTTTTGCCACTGCCGCCTTCCAACACCACCATCTACACTACTATCGCTTTTCACCTTCACTACCATCGTCACTACCATTTACCACCGCGGTCATTTCTTTTAAAAAAATTATAAAAGAATATTTTTTTTATTTGCCACTAAGGGGTATTTTGGAGAATTCCATTTGAAATTTATTCCATTCTAAATTTTAAATTGATCTACCATCGGGCTTGACTCAATGGTACAAGCCCTTACTTGTCAAAGGAAGAGTATGATTCAAGCCTAAGTGAATGCATGAGTGTATCAGCATCAACTAAGAAAAAAATAAAATAAAATAAAATTGATCCTACCAAATACTAGAATAGTTATTATCAATTTACCATTCCATTTCGACACATTCCATATTCCATTCCCACTAACCATTTCCACTTACAATTCATTTCATTCATATATATTAAACAAATCGTTAGATTTAAGGACTAAGCTTGCATAATGACAACCATAAATAAAACAGTTTTCATTTCTCAAAGGCTAATTAGAACCTAAAATGATTGGAATTAGGTCAAGATATCTATGCCGGGTGTTGTCTATAAGAAGCCCCCAGAATTGACCTAAATGGATTCACCACATATTTTCATCCTTAAAGACAATTTATAGGGTAGGCATCTGTGGAAGTTTTTTGTTTGGAAGTTTTTGTGGAAGTTGGGTGCACCATAAAAGTATAGTTTGTGGGCATGTATGTTTGTAGCCAGCCCTAAACCTAATCAATTTTATCTAGGGTTATAGTGGGGTGGCTGAGTTTGGCATGCACATGAACAGTGAATCGTTGACTCTTCTTTCCATCAAATCAGGAATAATCGGATCCATTTACAACATTAACAACAAAAATAAATAAATAAAAATTAGTTCCTCTTTGCCCAAATGATATAGGTATAGAGGTATATGAGATAATAGAAGTCCCGGTTTATAAGTGTACGAGAACATGCGTTCATATTATGAAAGAAAATGAGTTTTGTACAGAGCATTTGCAGTAAATTGTTAAATTTGCTTACTTATATTTGATATAAAAATTAATCAAAAATCATTCGGTTAGATAATTCATTAAAAATCTTCAGTATCACTGCTGTATTTTGAAAGCAATCACTTTGTATATAAATTGATTACTCATACAATTAGCCTCATCAAGCATGAAATATCCCTATTTTCTTAAGAAACTTTTTGAGGTTGGAAGCCATTTAGAGCCTCCAAAGCTCATCCAAACGCTACCCAGGACAGCGTTTTTCATCTTAAATTAAGGGACTAAATTTTGGAAGCTGTGGTCAAAATTAAAAGGTGTTTAATAACATCATTTTGTGCTAAATGACACAGAAGTAAGTGTCCTACATTTTATGCTCTTTTGCATGAATTTGACTACAAATTCAGCCTTGCAAATTAATTTTGGTTAGAAGTGGGAAAAGAAAACTCGCACTTCAGAAATTTGCAACTCTAAGGCCATGGTTAAAGAGCATAGAAGAGTTGTTTGAACACCTACCTCTTTCACTGATCAGCGATGGTTGTACCAAATAAATGGTTGTTACGGTAAAAGGGGATGTTGCATGCCAAAAACAATTTATATAAATGCTAAAGTTCCAATGTTTATTACACAGAAATTACTTTTAAATCAATGAATTTCCAATGAAATGAAACAACAGTGACCAAATTTTGTGGTCCCTATTAAACAAATTGACATATTGACATGAGTAACCAATCAATCACACAATATTCCCAGAAGCGAGCCCAAAATTACTTAATGAACTACCAGTGTTGGAACACCACGACATAAATGCATCACCTGTAGTTAACCTCTGGTGACTGGAAAATACGCTTTGCCAACCACTGGAAAGGTCTCAGTAACTGTGCTCTCTTCTTCCGCCAGAACCAAATGGCAGCATTGTATTGTTCATTGCGTATTACTTTGGTGGCTGCCTTCCAATCATACTTCTCCATCTCCAGCCGTGCAGCTTTGCCAATAGTTTCTCTTAATTGACGGTCACGTAAAAGAGGAGCCAATTTGCTTAAGCAGTCATCAAGATCTCCAGGTTTAAAGAGATACCCAGTTTTATCCTCGTGATCTTCAGGAATGATATCTGGGATTCCCCCTGCTCGAGCAGCCACCACAGGAAGTCCCGAGGACATGGCCTCCAAAACAACAAGCCCAAGCGTTTCCGATTCTGAGGGCATTACAAAAACATCACCACTGGCATATGCTTCAGAGAGCTCCTCACCTTGTAACGTTCCTGTGAATACTGCAGGCATGCCACGAAATAGTTTTTCCAGCTCTTCCCTGCCAGAAAGAAACCATGCCTCATAAGCAGATATGCACGTGACAGCTTATCAGGGAAAAACAAAAGGCAAGAAACAAAAATACAAAGGTCAGGTGATCATCACTGTGTTCATTTTTTTATCTTGGGAGGGCTTCTTATTGTTGTACTAGTGCCATAGCAGTGTATGTGTGTGTTCAGGCATTCCTCCGTGTTTTGAGTTTTATGATCACCAGCATTTTTCACTCCAAATTTAAGAAAATGATGTGTATTCAGTTTGTAAAACCAAAGCAAAATTTTTCAATAGCTGCGAGCACTGACAGGCAAGCAAGACTGAAGATCTCTCTGACTCGCCCATTAAAACATGTTATCTACTTTCCATTAGATGATAATACGTCTCTTGAATATCTACCACCCAAAGCAATCTGATAATTACTTTGTCTAATACCATATATGCCATTGATCTCCAGGAGGGTGGGTGGTAGCTATTGTTAGGAGAAAGTGACTTCATAGATATTATACTAAATTATATCTCAGAGAATGTTTGTAACATGATAAGAAATTAAGCACCAGATAAGTATTGTAGTACATTACCTGTATGGACCATCCCCAATAAAAGCAATTCGTGCATCCGGAAGCCTATCCATGACGCTGTTCAATCATGTATTTAAGATGTCAAAGGTTGCAATACACATAAAGTGATCCACAAAAGCACTATTATCGCTCATTGGTATATTATACCGACAAATGATTTCATAAATGGAAGTGTTACTTCAAATTTTATGCAAAATTTCATGCATTACAGAGAAAATGATACTGAAGAACAAAAAATTCATCAAGCTGCTATTTTTTTCCTTTGTTTTTGTTTTTTTTTTTTTTTTTTTTATTTTTTTTTAATTTTTCCATCAACTCTAATATTGCAGTATGCACACGAAAATCCAATGATGGAATTCCAATTGTTGAAAATCTTGATGGGTTAGCTGAGAAAATAAAAGGTTCCAGTGGTAAAGGCTTTCAAAAACTTGGCGTACTTTTACCCACTTAACCGAACCTGGAGCTCCCTCAATTCAGGCCCTCATCTAGTCCAAGTCATTTTCTGAATATTTAAATTTGATGTGCTAGGAAAAACATTTGGTTACTAAATCACATTTTGGCTTAGATACAAAAAACAAAAAACTTGGGAAACCTAGCCATCCAATTCCAAGATGCACAACCAAATATTTTCTCCATTAGAATAGAAGAAGAACAATACCTTTTAAGGAAATCCAAACTCTTCTCAACTCCTATCCGTCCAACATGGACTATTAATGGTCTCTCAGGTTCACCATTGCTGATTTAGAAAGAAAGACATGTTACATTTGGAACTTTGGAGAAAACTTGTGCTACTTGGCAATGGAATTTGAAGGAGGGGAGAAAGGCCCTACCTTAGTCTTACTCGCATTTCATGAGACCGATATCTGGGGTGGAAGCTTTCAGAATCAACACCCTTATTCCAGAGACGAATCTTATTAGCTGAAAATGAGCAAAAGAAATAACAGCTGTTCAGTTTTCAAGATTGCTGCATGGGCATGGAAATGAGCTGTTTAATCACCATTTGCACAATATATAATTGTGGAAGTTAAGCACAAAATGATTTTACTAATTTTTGGGAAAGAGCTTTAAAAAAATATATAGAAAACACATCTGAGGCGAAAGGGTAAATGTTAAATCATTTTCTGCTGTGACTCAGACCATTTTCTTAAAGTGATTCACTGGGCACAGATGTTTATTTTCACCTGCCGTTACCCTAGCTGCTTCAAGATCCTTTCCAATGGCAGCTGATGGCACCAGCGTTAGATCAGCTGCTCGGTGAAGAAATTCTGACAAGGAAAGAGCAAGCGTTTATTTATTAGTTAACAAAAAGAAAACCTGGAAGCAATTGAATTGGGGACAAGAAAGTTAAAGTTCACATACTTATGACCAACCACATAGGTTTGACCAGCCAACTAAAAGTGTATCTTGGTATGTACCTGTGGACCAAGACAAAAGAAAGGCTCAGACCAAGCCATTAAATTTACCTGTTGTTACAGTGGTATGGCATCATATTGATGTAGTAGTAGTAGTAGTGCAGATTTATAGTTCATGAATTGTTATATGTCATTAAAAAGCAGGGTATGAAATCCATGATATGTCTTTATTTGGTGCAAGCAAAGAACTTTGTCAGGAAGATCTATTAAAAATCGAACTTACACTGGAACGTGTGTGTGATAAGACATAACTAAAGGGACACACAATAGTTTTGCAATAATGAGAGCACCAAACACCTATAACAAAAGCAAAATTGTCAATGATGCAACACAAGCTAATTTTTGTTCCATGACTTTTAAGGAAAGAACGCGAAATATTTCATTGAGCAAGAAAAGAGGAGCAGCTAAGAACTTACCATAATACCAGGGGATGATGCGTGTATTATGTCAGGCTTGAACTCAGCAACTGCTGAGATTATTCTAGGGCTTAGTGCTAGGGAAAGGGGCACCTTTGAGTACCATGGACAAGGGAAGCTGCAAAAAGAACAGAGAGCCATCAGTAGAACAATGCAATGCTTCTAGACCTAGACCACAAACCAAACAGTACAAGACAGCAACCAGATTGATATGGTTTTACTGTCCCATGAAAGAAAAAGCTATAAGTTGAACATTGTAAGAACAATACCAAATTAAGACTACTTATTAGAAAGATTTTTGTAATGCGAAATCAATAAGTCATTAACTAAGAAACACGTCAATTAAGATATATTTATAAACAAAAATTACTGCAGTAATATGTGAAGTAAAGTTCGGATTTAACTATAATAAGAAACAACGTGAGAAGATGTGAAGTAATGAAAACCCCCTAATCTAGAAATTTCCAAAAATTATTATTAAGAATGGCAGAAGAAGACAATACAGCATACTTATTAACAAAACAAAACAAAACAAAAAAAAAAAAAAAGAGTAACATTTTAGTTGAGGTTTATGAACCTATACCTAATTGTGAATAGAACTCAAGGTCAACACAAAACCTGGTCAAATACCTTTCCATGATCACAAAATTGTTTGAGTTTCGCCGTTACTTTGTTTTTCACCTGATTTTATAATTTCCACATGCTCAAGACTTCTTCTTCAAATGCTTGACGTAGTAGGTCTTGATTTACAACTGACAAGTCATCATTAACTTGACTAGATAGCAAAAAGCTGAAGCCAAGGCCCCATTTGGATGGATATATATAAAATGAATGGTTTTCATTTTATTAATTTCAGGAGTTCAGTTTAAATTTTAAAATTTGAGCTTAAACTTGGGTTTTATAAAGATGCATGTACTGAAATTGAGAGCCTCGTACGTGTGGATTTGGAAAAACAATGCCAAAAGTTTTACTTGAAATCCATGATATGAAGGAATTCAATAGCACATAAATCCTTGTAATATATATCCTCAACATTAATGATCCTCTACTCATTCTCAAATTGCATCACTCAATCCAAATCCAATAGTCAACCTACTATATATTTGTGATTTGGATTTTTAAATCCCTTCGATTGAAATCCATCCATCCAAATGGAACCTTAGTTCAGTATAAAAAAAGGATTTTATTAGAAGATAGTATTTTCCTTTGCCTCAAAACCCAAAGGGAAAAATGCAAGTTAATAAAAATAATTAATTAAATAAATAAAAACCTTCGTGATCCAATCAGTTTTGCTCCATAAAATTCCTGAGGAACTCCTTCATGCGTTGTCACAACCATCACCTACACCATTTGTCCATTAACCATCAGTTTTTTCAAGACATTTCCAGAATCTATATATAAAAAGAAAAAGAAAGAATGAAAACTATTCAAAATTTTAGCTTTTGACTCTCCCTCTCAAGTATTTGAGGTAACACACACACTCTCCAATATATATATATATATATATATAAAGTAGGATTTTGGCCAAGTGACAACAAGATTCAAACATCCATTCTCCTGATTGTGTTTCCTATATCCAAGGACCATTCAAGCTAAGATAAAAAGTATATCATCTATAACATGGATAACATGAGCAGGGCAGCAGGCTAAAAGTAATCAACAATAATTATAATAATAATAGCAAAAAGGAGCTTAAGTTCAGTCTATCCTGGGTCAGCTTATTGTGTTGTTCATCTGATGCAGCTCAAAGGTGTAGTCCAAAATGGATAAAAAAAAAGTTTATGGATAGATATAAACCAAAGGACCAAGTCATGTCAACCATAAATTAGCTAAAGGTTGTCAAGCTCCACATTCTTGCAGTGAGGACAAGATGATGCTTGCATGTTCAAGAATTAAGAACCTCAGCTCCTACACATCACTAATGAATAAAATATATATCTGCAGATAGATAAAGAATGTACCTCATCCCCCATTTCGCGCAGATACCTAATAAAATTCTGGAACCGATTTTTATACCCAGACACATAACTGCAAAAAGACAGAAAAGAGGAGGCAATTAATGAACACCCACCAGGCTAGGCAGGATTTTTATGCAAATCTCAACATAAATTTATAGTTTCATGTCTACATTTTCTTCTTAATAACAAGTTAGACATGAACAGAGCAGAGAATTACAATTTTTTTTTTTCTTTCTTTGTTTTAAATTTTCAAATACTGTCCATTAGAAGCATATTTTACATTAAAAAATGGCTTCTACATGACCATCATTGACTTGTCCATAAAATGTTAACAGGATTCTTATGCTGAAGACTCAGTATATTTGGTCTCTGCCATGCTTTAAGGTGGCAATATCTTCTTTTTTTGTACAAGTTGACATAGAAATTAGTTACTTCCTACAATAAGGAAGGTGAACTTACAAATAAAACATGCAAACATAAAACTGAATTTAATTTTTAGTATATTCTCAAGATGGGCCAATTCGACTATGTAATGTTTCCATAATACGTCAGCCTGAGTTTCATCAGGGACCGCCCATCTTCCTTCTTCACAATTATCCACCTTATTTGTGCATTCACATCTAGAACTAAAAGCATAAATGAAACTTTTGATTGCATAAACCCAGCCAATCTAGTTGTAACTGGTTATAGACATCTAAGAGATAAATTAATAATTAGGTGGTATGAATTAAGGCATTACTTGTGTGCATTATTTTATTATATGCAAGTCCAAGATGAACATCAAGTAAAAAATTGCATTTTACATGGATATTTAGTGTTGTTTCATGGATATCATGTTCTCTATTGGGGTAAATTTTTAGTTGTCACATTGACAAAACATAACTTGAAAAAAGTTAATGTAGGCAACAAACAGGAATAAAGAAAAAACAAAAAAATCAAAAGAGATATCAAACAATAATAAAAACATAAGTTTTAATAAGCAGGTAACGGAACAAAAGCGAAAGTAATAAAATTTAATTAAATTCACAGTGTAGGTAAACACGAGCAATTTTAAGATGCCTGCATTGACTTTAACAGATTTACCAGTAAGCCAACAGCTACTTTTATGAAATCCACCTAAAAAAACTAGTTCGTAAAGCTCTAAAATCTAAGGCAACATTATAAATCCACCAAACATATAAAATAATATATCCAAATTAACTTATTGAGCCAAGAATATGTCAAAGTAAGAGAGCCACTTAATAGACTCCTGATAATCAAAACGCACGTAAATAACACGTTAACAAGCTGACAACTTACTGTCCAAAGAATAAAAAAACACTTGAGAAACCTATTAGTGACAATTTACTAGAATAGAAGCAAAAATTGCCAAATTACAGAAAACAACTAAGGAGGTAATCAAACTTATAAAATCAAGATGCACCCTACCATAAAATACATATTTAAATAAATATATAAATATATATATATCAAAAAAGAAAAAGAGAACACAATACAAATAGCACATAGATTAAAAAAACTGATCAATAACAATATAAACCATAAAACCCATGAGATTAGATTGACAGAAAAAACTAGCATTTGTAACAGTTCCAATGAAATAAGCCAAATTTGACAATCATATTAACATATGCTAGAATTGCAGCCAAGCTAAGAATACCATTGAAGCTAAAAATTAAAATCATGAAATTTATGTCATGACATCCACACGTCAACTAGAAACTAAGTTCGACAGTTGGCCCAATCATGGAAGACGGATACAGCAATAAGCGCAAGTCAGAAAACACATACAAAAATAGTCTTGAGATAAATAAAATAGTCAAAAAAATGTCAATTGTTCATTGGATAAAACAACAACAGCTGGCATAGCAAGTTACTTTATAATAAGAAGAAAAGCCTCTATAAGCACCATAGAATGTTAGCCAAGCTATAGAAACCCTAACCCGGATATTCTCCTGTGCCATTTCATCCTATGTCACATCATGTGTCATTACATAGCTCATGCCTCGACGTCCTTATAAAACAACTTCAAATAGCTTATGCAATTTTTAAACTACCAGGTAGTGCGTTGTGCTAGGTATATACTAGCGGCACGGGATCCCCTCCACAGGAGGAGATCCGGATTCTACCATAGAAAGCCACTAAATTCACAATTTACATTGAGACTAATCAATTCTTTTACAGCTAACATTAGCAACTCACACTGTCAGAGTCAACTCGTCAAATACAAAGAAGGCATAACTAATCAAACCCAAAACCATCAAATTGACAAAGAAAAAGAAACAGAGAAATCAGCCAAATTCAGTTGTAAGAGTTGGAGTTGGAGTTGTACAACACTATATACAGTAACCTTCTTGCATAACAAATTGAGAAGTAAAATTAGACACTCACGAAAAGGGAGAGGGCTCGACAAAGAGAGCGATACGCCGAGGCTTTGAATTGATTTCCGATTCAAGCAATGGAGGAGGATTTTCCTCTTCTTCTTCTTCCCTGACCTCTGTGATGGTCATGTTGCTAGCTGCAATAAAAGGTCTCTGTCTCAACCTCCCACTCTTGGGTTTTCTTCTAGATTGCAAAGATCGAGTCTGTGTGCATAGTAGGCTAATGGGTTGTGTTCTGGAAGGACACAGACAAGAGACTCTCAGAAAAAATGGTGGTGTATCTGAAGAAGAAGCAACGGCGGAGGGAAAGGGAGAGGAAGAGGCGTAGAAGAAAGGAGGAGAGAGAGTGAGATTTATAGAGAGAGAAGAAATGGACATGATGATTGATTGGGGGTGAAGTTAAATACTACTACATTAATAATGGTGGCTTGTAGGAAAGAGATGAGTTGGGTTTTTGGTTTATTATTCCGGGAAGTATGCGTGTAAAGTAGGAAGGTATCCAAGAGGCCATGAGAGAAGACTCTCAATGGATATTCTTTATCAAACTCGTGGAATAAATGGAAGCTCTTCAAAGTATATGCTACTACTCCCATTGGAGGTCGAACTTCTTTTCTTACAAAGGTGGGGTCAACGTAGTGATAACGTTTTTACGCTCAATATCTTAAAGAGTGAATGGTATAATTGAATAATTTTAATCGATTATTTATATCACATAAAATTAATTAAGAAATTTCAACTCTGGTAATTCAATGTAACAATCATTTTTTTTATATATTATATACATATATAGGGATAAAATGTAAAAAATTCCTCGAAACTATCATAATATTTGTAAGAAATCTTCCTAAATTATAAAAAATTCCCCGAAACTAATGTTTGATTGCATTTTACCTCACGAACTCACTTGCTGATGCTAGAAAAGGCAAAAGACAAATTTACCCTTATGAAAAGGATTCAGCTTCAAGCTTTTTACATTATACCCATTGATGTGTAAAGTGAAATCTCAGTATCCAATGAAATTGTGACAACACATCTAGAGATATGGTTGTCTAAAACTCAAAAAATTATTTATTCATTACGATTGTTGTAACGATGACGTAATATAATGGACAGTTACAACTTACAAATATTCCACCAAAACTAAGTGGACTTACAATAAAACCAAAAAACTAATACATGGTTGCATCACGTCACCGTTACTATAGTTGCACTGAATAATTTCTCGACCCATTCATTCTACCCTACCATTGTAGTCGTAGAGCTCTTTTGAACTCCATATTTGAGTATAAATTGCTCATGTCAAATTATTAAATACATTTAAAAGGTATTGAGATGACTTCTAAAAGAGGATTGTTGGGAACATTTTTTTCCTTTTTATTGAATTAGTCACTATATATGGTTTGTCATCATCTTTTATACCTGTACTAATTCTCAGTTTTTTCAGAAAATCATTTCTTATATTGGATGTTTTCTAAATAGACATTTAGGTTTGATTGAAACTTAGGAACAATCCAAAAATATATATTCCAAAAAAAAAAAAAACAATTGATGAGTTTGTTTATTCATTGTTGTTAGCCCAATCGAATATAAAATGAGACTTAAAATTGGAGTGTAAAAATATCTTAGAATAATGTAAGATATTCGATTGGATATCCTATTCATAATGATTCGTATTCTTGCGGTCACATGACGAATCATATATAGATCTAATCCTAACGTGACTTTTCTTTTGGGCCATGAGTGATTAATTTAAGGTGGAAAGCACCTCAGTCACTCTATTTCTTATGTATTAAAAATTCAAAATGCCAATATTGCCCTTCACCCCAGTAGAATATTGCGGAAAAGAAGAATGAGAGAACCAATATTTTGTTACATCCTTTGACTTTCTATTCTCTCTATCTCAAGTAAGGGTTAAATGTGATTATTATAAAATTGGATATTATTTTTACACAAAGTGATTATTTTCATACACAAACCCTTCTTTTTCATTTTTTTAAATAAGTTGCCAGTGTTTTTTACTTGCCATGAATGACTCAAAATAATTAATGTCAGAGTATAATGACTAAAATAAATTAGAAGAATATAATTTAGCATATGAGTCTAAATGTAAAGAATATGCTGGGAATACAGAATTCAAAGCTTGGGATGAGTAGGAATATTACAAGAAAACTTTGATTGGTTTTCCTTAAATACTTGGAGAAAGAGATTTTCAATTAATTATAAAAGAAAAATATAGTAGTTTAATAAATTACTATATATTAATATTAAAGGCAGTTATTTACACCCACGTCACATATGGAGACGGGACTAATGACAAATGATTATGTTTGAGATCCCTTATGTCGGTCGATATATATATATATAGATTCGTGATATTCCTTCCAGTGTGAGTCTCTAAGAAAATGTCTCACTGAGTCATTGTTTGTCCTTTCGAGACCATTGTTGGTCCACCATTTGTGTATCTTCTTACAGTTTGTCGATATGATTATCCAATATGATGCAATCAAACCCCAGCTAAAAATCTTAACTTTACAAAAAGTGGCATGACGAGACAACAAGACGCAAGCGTGCACTACCAATATTAATGCTGCTTTTCTTTTTTTAGAAAAAAAATAAAGTTAGCCACCTCAAAAAAAATTTAAAAAAATTCTTTTTATGGTTTCTTAATTATATGTATTAAAGGTGGTTTGGAACTTTGAATAAATATTATTAGTTTTGTTTTTAAAATTTTAAATTTAGTTATAAAAAAAAGGTGTTAAGACTTTATATATATATATATATATTATTCATGTACATTTATATTATTTGTTATGAATTAAAAGAGAAGAAAAAACATACCACAGGACAACCTCATATACCATCTATCAACAATTCTTCTCTCCAATTTTTTTTTTTTCAAATCATTTGTAAACATGCTATTAAAATATATATTAAAATTTTATTTTAATTTATTTTATTATAATTATTTTATTTTTAAATTTTAATTTTATATTACAAGTTTGGCCCCCTAAATAAATTATCCTGGCTCCACCCTACTACCAACCAAAAAACAAAAATGACTAAAAGATATACATATTTTTATTAAAAAATATATATATATATGAACTATCCATACAAATCAAATAAAACTTAAAATATATGAACTATTCTATTTGGCTTGAGATGGCTGGCCAAAATGGTTTGCTTGCAACACTATCCAACCCTTAATTCTAAATGGATTAAGTGCTTATTCAATTAATTATGTTTGATAATGTAATTTGAACATCATTGAAACGATAAGTGACACTAAAATGAAGTAAAATTTTAGGTAATATAGACATTACTTATAACTAAATATTAAACACTGAAAATTTGAAAAGATATCAATAGGTGCTAACGCGTGCACACAATGCACTGGGTGAGCCCAATATCTACTCCTTAGGAGGACTTTAACCCCCCAACATCCTATTTTGGAAGACAATGAATTACAACCGGACTACAACATTTGATGGTCATAAATATTATTCTCCACAAATATATGTAGTATATCATTTGCCAAAGGAAAAGGCCAAGTATGGGCCGGTGTGCCTGAACTTGGTAACCATCAATGCGGTGTATAGCCCCAACTTCAATGGACTTTGTGAAGTTTCGGCCCATGTACAATGACATTTATACCCAAAAATTTGGGGATACATAAACCAAAACACTAGTCTACACATAATGAATCTGCAACTACCACTTTTGGTGCTTGAATTTTCCAACTTAATTCCCAAACAAACAAAACCCAAAATTGATCTCATACCATAGAAAGCATGTGGTAGTGTTACTATCATAAAACAGTTAGGTGAATGAATGATATTATAGAATATACCCTTGCTCCTATGCAAAGAACTTACCAATTCCCACCAAAAATGCAAATGATTTCTTTTGACAAATAAATAAAGTAGGTAAATAAAGATAAGATGGATGGATGGTTTCCTAGTATTCACCTCAACGCCCTATCCCCACCAAAATTCAAACTCTCTTATCTCTCTCTCTCTCTCTCACACACACACACACACACACAAAAGGGAGAGGGTAGGCCATTGAGAGCACATAAAAAGAAACATTGATGAGAAGAGAAGAGAAGAGAAGAGTCTCAAGTCTAAAGTGTTTCCTCCATTTTTCCTTCCTCCTTTCCTTTACCCTCTACCTTCCTCTTTTAGGGCTCCACCATTCCTCTTTCCTTTTGACCACACACTTTCTTCTTTTTAAATGATATACCTCATTTTCATACTTGATCAATCTACTATATTTATGCTACATATACAAATTAAGCAACCACATTTTTTAGAGTCCTTCAAGTTTTATTTGACATCTTAAAGTTTGGTTCACTCATCAACACACTTCAATTCTAAACCTTAAACATTGCACTGTTTGCACACCACTATAAGTCTTGTGAATTAAAAGAATATTTCTTGGATAGATTCCTTCCAAGTTTTATTTGACTTCATAGAGTTTGGTTCACTCATCAATACACTTTCAATTCTAAACCCAAAACATTACCATAAAAATCGGTGAAACTATCAATTTCCTTTCGGTTTATTCAGTCAATGTACGTGGTAAAGAAAATTTTATGTATGAGTTGGTAGAAATTGTTGTAATGTATAGCATAAAAATAAGTACCATTTTCCTGTGTGTGTGTGTGTTGTGTGTGAGACATTGCACATGGCTAGCTCACTCAATATATATAACAAGTAGCGAGTGTGTGAATGGAAACGCTTGTTTGGTTCCAATTGAAGAAACCTAAACAGTGTAAATTTCTCAAATACAGTAAGAACCTCAACTCCTTTATCTTCTTCTTTCCCTTTCTCCAATTCATCAATAAATACTCCCCACAACCTCTCCAACTGCCCCTTCTTCCATCCTCATAAATCTTCTCTTCACCCTCTCTCTCTCTCTCTGTTATACACACATATATATAACAAGTATATGATGATAATATATCAATAGAAATGAGGAAGCGAGTAGGTTTTAGTCTTGATGTCAATGACAAACCAACCTTCTTTCACAAGCATGGTGGTGGTATCAAAATTACCATAAACAAGAAGAGGGCCATTCGTATATGGACTACTTTCAGGCTCTCCAAAACCTCCAGCTTCTCATTTCTAAAGCTTATTGGAGCTAAGGTGGCCAGAGTTCTACGTCTGGTGTCCACGCGGAAGAGCAGGTCTCCATGCAAGGTCTCTTCATCGAGCTTGGCAAGGTCACAGTCATACTTGGACCAGATTGATTCTCATCGAGCTGAAGCTATTGAGGACTGTATTGAATTCTTGAATTCTTCTTCTTTGCAGAGATCGAGTTCTGTTTCTTCAACTTCCTGTTGCTAGGTAAAAGTTTTTTTTTGCATGGTGGAAGGAGAAGATGTAAATGAAAAGAAAGAAAGAAAGGTTCTGTGATTCATTGATCATAACAACTTTTTTTCCCTCAATATCGTAAGAACTTCATTTGTTGATGATTCAGCGAATCCAGAAATGCATAATGGGATGGACTAATATATTCTGAGGTTGGCTAGTATTACTAAATTTCATTTTTTTTTGTTTTTCTTTTTTTTTTTTTTTTTTTTTTTTTTTTTGGGGGGGGGGGGGGGGTTGGGGGAATGATGAAGAAGTTGGATATATAGCAAAAGGTTCTGTGTTAGCACAGAATGTTGTGAAACACAAGTTGGTTATATATATCCATTGGCCATTGTTATACTTCTTTTTAATTGCCTCGCTTTGGCATTGTTAAACTTGCATTGATATATATGTATATACAAATGAACTTTTTGATTGTTTTGTTTTATTTCTTTTTCTATTTATTGCTCACTGTTTGGTACAAAAGTTTAAAATTACAAATATGAGGATCCAATTTCGAGTAAGCACCTTCCATGTACAGAGAGTAGCCACACTCACACACACACACACACACACACACACACACATCCTCCGTGTGTACAGTTATTAGGTAGGAAACTTCTTGTATGATATATCACCAACATCCAACTCATAGAAACGGACCACTCTAAGGTAGGTGGGCCACGGTGAGAGCGTCTAGTCTGATTATTCAACATTGAGAAGAAAAGGCTTGCTAAGAAATAGTGATTTACAAGTTTCATCTTTTGTCTGATTTTTTTAAAAAATGCATAGCACAAAGGGCACGTCAATGTTTCCAATGGATCAGAAATTATTGTATGATCCCAAAATCATTGATCAAGAAAAAAGTTAAATAACGCATAAACAAAGCTGGTCTTGGGTCAGCTAGTGCTTTGTGGACTAATGGTCCTGAGATCATGAAATAATCTTTCGGATATCACTTTTCAATGACAACCTGGACCCATGGCAGCTTTAGTTTTCCTGACTTCCGTAAATATCACCCAACTCTCGCATGTGTAGCTAAGGAACTAACATTCATAATCAATCTACTGTGATCACTAAACTAATCACCATTTCCAATGCATAAACCATCATTCTATTGATAAGCCTTATTTTTTTGTAGTTAACTCAATGGATCACCTAATTAGACGAATTCGTAAAAATAAAAATAAAAATCACAGAATGGGGGGTCATGTCCTTTTCAAAAATTAAAGCAAAAAAATTGAATTACAACAGGAAGCACAATCGTCCAGAAGTAATCTCTTTGTCAGGAGAGAGGAGAGGGAAAGAAAAAAAAAAAAACTTCCCAAAATAATCATAAAAAGGCCATTGCCGAGCTAACAAGATCAACCGATATTTTAATTATATAAAATCTCTCTATTCTAAATATTTTTGAATTGGAAAATGCATGTCCATGGGAAAAGTAGTATTAAATAGTATGATCAAGAATCAAGCGATAACCTCTCAAGTTCTCGAGTTCCTTGAGTAGAAGCTTTTTTCAGTTCAAGGGCTGTTTTATAAGGGGGAGCAATAGGGGGCTGTACAGGATCCAAGCTCTGGTATGTCCCCTCTGCAACTTTAGGAAGTGGATAGGAACGATCTGAATCATATCCACTCAGATCTCCACAAGCCAAAAATGGGATATACACCTTGTTTGGCCCTTCCAACCATCCACTACTGCAATCTGTCATGCAACAAATACAGGAGAAAGTAAAAAGCCGGTCATAACACCACTAATCACATTTAAACAAAGAAATATCTCATAACAATATGCCCATTCAAAAGTAGAACCAGCATTGTGAGATTCCTTATCTAAGTCGGCAAAAACCAAATTGTGAAATAACTTTGCTTTAAACCTTCTTATCAGTCAACTAACAAAAACAACAATGCACTGTCACTGTCCTGCAAATGAAGCCAAACTTATTTTTCATGTTCTTGTTGCACGTAAAAGTATGTTCTTATATCATCCCATAAAATTTTCAGAGAATAAAATATGTTTATAAAGAGGCAAAGATTGGTTCCATTCCCTAACTACCATGGAAAATAAATGATAGTTGCAAACTTTGGGAGTGAGAATACTAAATAAGCCTGTGTGTGTATGTGTATGTGTGCGCGCGCGCGCGCACGTGTGAGTGAGAGAGAGAGAGGCTGAGAGAGAAGGTTTTTAGTTTTAACAAACTGTCTGCAACTTATACCAGGTTGAATATTTCAAATTAGAGAAATTAATTGAAGAATGAAATGAGGATGACTCATAAGATTTCTTATAAAATAAAAATAAAAATAAAAAAGACATACTTATAGATAGAGTCATTCTAAAAAATGTCTTACCAATTGAAAAAAAAGAAAGTAATGTATAACAATTACCTAGATCATCTCCACCAGATGGACTCCCAACCTTTTCTAGGAGGCGACGCAAATCTTTCTCATTAAATCCTTCAGGAGGGGAATAATTCTCACAAACTGCAAATGCCTCTGAATTACAAACAATAATGGAATTAGCTAACTATCAAAAAAAAAAAAAATCTTCACATGGCACTCAACTTTCAAAATAAATATATTTTGTCTAAAAGGAGAAAAAAAATTAAAAATAATAATAAAATAAAATGAGCTGGTGCCCTCTCCACCAGCAGTGAAAGCTCATTGACCACGTCAAAAATCATGTTCACCAAATAAAAGAGAATAAACACAAACATATTTATTATTATTATTTGGCCAAAATAATTAGGAAATACAGCGAAGCTCCCCAGACTGCCATATGAGAGCATAGACACTTAACCAACAAAATAAAGTGCTAAGACCACACCAATGGATGCCATAGCTGAAGCTCAATCCCATTCATAACTTCATGGATGCTTAGTCATTTATCTTCTTATAATAAGAATGAGAAAGTGATACAGATGTTACCTCTTCCTGCTAGCTATTTTTAGGTCAATCTGGGGAAAAAAAGAGGAGAAAGGGGGGGAGGGGTTTTGTCAAATAGGATGTAAATAAGTGGAAGATTAAATTATTAATTTAGTAGGTCTCTGCCCTTGCAATTTAATATTTAGAGGCACAATATAGCAGCTTCCATAGAGCCTAGTGTCACGGGCCTAGAGTCGGGGCGTGACACTAGACTGACTTGTGGATTCACAGTTCCATTTTCCCTTTTTTTTCCCAGATGATTCTTGGTGGCCTTCAGGAGACTATTCTAGTGCTCATGTACATTTTCTTTCAAACCCAATGACAATTAACTACTACTTTGTGTGCGCGCGCGTGTGTGTGTGAGAGAGAGAGAGGGGAGGGGGGGGGGGGGGGAAGAGAGAGAGAGGCAGACAGAGAGATGAATATAACCTGTATTATATATCGAATTATCATTTCAGATATAAAGAAATTACGGCTTTTGCAATTTTAATCACCGTTTTTCAGAATGACTAACAAAATTTTGCAATGATATTATTTTTGTTTTGTCATAGTTCATCCAGAAGGATGGATTTGAGCCACTGAATTTAACCATATCCCCATAAATATAAGCTCAAATACTTTGTTGACTAAGACAAGTTTAAGTCTAACAAAGAAGTGACTGTTGCCCATTGTGAAGATTATCTGAATTAGATCACCACATTACACTGCACTAACTTGTAAAGTACTAAGAGAAATTGGCCGAAAGACAATAAGCTACATTTACCTATGCTTGAATTACGGCTGCTTTTCGGTTTTGCAAATGTCACTTCTGTGAAAAATAGTTTTAGCTGCAAAAAATAAGTAATATAGATGATTCCACAAGTTTGAAAATACCAAATCAAAATTATTGCTACGCATATAAATATGCAACCCTGAATCAAAAAATATTCTAAGTAATTTACAATCACCAAATCCTCTAATAAGGAATACATGTTATCAATTCAAAACATTTTCTATTGGCTACTTTCACATTCTTTAGCCAGAAAACAAAATCAATTGTAGAGTATCATATGGATATATATATATATATATTTATAAATTCCTGAGAAAATATGGACTGACAGCATATGTGATAAAGACCAATTGTGGTTGTCCGTAGGGGCATATTTTGATTTTAGATTTCTAAAGCCAATCTTGTGTGATGAGCTTGCTTTCGAACTGGTAAAAAATCAGGTTATTGTTATCCCTCACACCAGATAACTTTTTAAGAGTAATTTTGACATAAATTCAACATGTACCACTAGATTGTGACCAGATAAATTTGTTGTTCTGGTTTGGCAACTCTAAAGTTCAGAGGATTATGTACCATTGGCACACCTTGCAAGACCATGTACATATTCAAAATGCCAAAGGAAGGCCAAACTGAGATATATATAAAAGATGCAAAGAAAACTTTGAGACTAAAGTCAGAACTATCCTAATGCAAGCAGCAATCAATGTGAAGAAACTAATTCTGAGAATTGGGAATTTTAGCAAGTATATCATTTACCTGACAGTAAAGAAGACTTGTATCTTTTCCCCGGAATATCTTCGCAATAAATTTCCCACCTTTTTTAAGTATGTGACTAACTATGGTTAAACCCTGCAAGCAAGTTGGACCAAATAACAGAACTTAATTAAATTGTATCCATGAATATCTCCAAATAACTAATCCAAATTGCTCTCTGAACATAAATCAAATGGAATTCAATTTTGACCATTAATATTTAAGACTACACAAAAATATATGCAACAATATATTAGAGCAGAAAACACCGCTCTATGAAACATTGCCAGGAAAAGGTTTGCCCTTCATTTTAACACTCACTATCCCATAACATTACTTGTTGTCAACTCCCAAGAAGTTCAACTAGCTCACATTTTGAGAGAACTCTGTGCCATAGATATCTAGTAATTTGACTATGAAGATAAGGCAGCTATACCAGGTGAAATTGCAAGAGATGCAAGAGTTGATTCTCAGAGGTTTAGAATGTAAAAACTCTCTTGCTAATTTTGCTAAGAATCAAACTTTTTAGTTCGCAGGAAAATTGTTGGCAAGGAGTTGTCATTGGTGATAAATCAATTTTGTTGTAGTTAACCTGGTCAGTGCATTTTTTTTTTTTTTTTCTTCTGAGAACCAGTGGGTTTTGATGCTTCTATGATTATATTTGTCTTGTTTTAATTAACCTGGTCAGGGAATGTATGCCTTTCTAGGAAGCCCCATGGCGTTAGGCTTTCTAGGTATATGATCTTTCGTTATCAATAATTTTTTTCTTAATGTATAGCAACCAAATAATGAAATAGTTTCATTTATTGTCTCCTATTCTTCAACAGCAAAGAGCAATCAAAGTTACAATGAAAATGAAAGGGAAAGAAAACAGAAGTGTTTACTATTACAGTTGCATGATATTCAAACTGGACTGATTTACTTTATCCCACAAATGTAGAACCACACCAAGTTAAGGGTCATTATCATTTTTTATGTCTTCCAGATTCAGAAGATCCCTAGTGTATATGCAGGAGCAGCAATACTCTTATCAGAGAATATGTACTGTAGGTGCTGTGAGTTAAGAATCCAAAATAATGTTTATCCAGAAAATAATATAGAACGTATGTGAAATAACCATGATCATCATTATTTTGGAATTTGACACTGTATATTGTAAAGCACAATAGAATGCATGTTTTATACATGGGAAATACCATCCAATGTTTACACAACTAAACTATGCCCTTAATGAATATCCATCAGAGGAATCTGAATACTTACTGCCAATATGAGTTGGGACTGAACAAATTCATCCATGTCATGAAGTCCAGTAACTGCAAAGCAACATGGAAAGAACGTTTCAGAAAAATATAGTTAGAATATGACTAAGTAGACCACGAGGATGGGCCCATCAATATGAATTGAAAATCATATTTGTTTTGCCTAACCATCAGGAGCACCATCACATACAACCAGGTCAGCCTTGCATCCATCGAAGTGTCTAATGACCTGAGAAAGAAAATGCACATAATGATGAATGGCAGTGCATCAATTGTGTATAGCAGATGAGTTGAACACAACACACAAAACACATAAGGAAAAGGACCATGAAGCAGCCCCCAATTTTCAAGTCAAATATATGTATTACACATATTCAGAACTAATGAAGTTTTAATAACAAAAATGTTCTCTTTTTAGTCTTGACTTTTACAACATCTCCTTCTATAGTTTTGCTAAAATTATATTCCATATATTCATTTTTTATCCTACTTATTCTAAACTCCCTTGATTCTAGAAAGTCTCTCCAAACCCCTAGTTAAACGTTTATCCCTGCTTTGGACCTTGTCAAAAGGCACTAACAATGAAAAACAATCACTCCATTCTAAACTGACAGCAACTTTCAAGTTCCAAAAGGAAACAAGGTTGCATACTATACCCACTATGAGACTGGGCATAATGTGTATAGTTAATTAAATATTTCAGAACAAGCATCAGAATTGGTTTGTTTTAGTACCGTGACTAGCGTCAAACAAAAAGCAGACAATAAGGAAAGTAAGCACATATATATATATATATATAATAAAAAATCTCTGATCATACCACTTCAGCTGTCCGAGCATTTGTTATGTCACCCTGCACTTGAATAACACCTTCAATTGGAGCCATGGGCTGCAAATCAATTGCCACAATTAGAGGAAGATCACCATCCCTGCAAATTACGATGAAAAGAAAAGGACTTATACTGTTCACCATCCAACAATATCCATGAAAATGATGATACAAATGAAAATATTATGATAACTATAATTCTTAGAAGATAAGAATTTGCACAAGTTTGAGACCACTACCTTAAAATAATACAAGCGGGGAAAAGGAATAAGAAGGAAGTTTAATGTGCAAAAGCTCATAAACCAATGCAACTAGGCTCACAACTACATTTTCAAACACATTTCCGTAGAATTCACCTCAGCAGTAACAATAGTAGTGATGAAGATAATGATGCTAAAATAAAATAAGAAAGCTTGTTCTGTGGGAGCTTTTTCTCAATGAATCAAAAGCTTGGAGCAACAGCCTAGAAACAAATGAATACAACAAATTCAAGTTAAGCATACTGCAGCACAATGATTTTATGGTACTGCTGTTTATTCAACCTTTTTATTACTTTTTTTTCCCCAGACCCTGGTTGATAGGTGAGGAGGTGAACTGACATTCAAGCTCAAGAGGGAGCTTGAACATAGTTTAGTAGTATTTGCAAGCTCCCATCCACTTTTCTATTATAAAATATTAAAAATTAAAAATGGCATACTTGTGGAAACTGAAAATAACAAACCCTATATTATTCTTAAGGAAACTTAAATTAAAACAATAGAACTCACTTTGAATCAGGTGACAGCTTTGCCGGTAGATACAACTTACGACTCAAAACCTACATATGAGATCAGAAGTGTTAGAGACTGGTCAAAATGCTTTGCATGTCACTTTCTCAAACAGCATGAATATAAAGTATATTGTCCTCTTCAGCTCCAGTTCTTATTTTGATTTTTATTTTTGGTTGAGGGAAGGGGTTTTTAAACCATTGGTGTCTTGATCATTATGTATCAGCCCTTCAACAGGAAATAATAAATGCCAAATTCAAATGAAATTAAATGAAGACTGCCAAAACTATTCATTAATTCTAGTTGCATGTAACTGGCTTACACACATATTCCACATCTACCCTGTAGTGAATGTAAAATAGTATAAAAGAAAGCCATAGAGTTGAATAATTTCATTTCAGTGTCAACACGTTATTGTATCACAACTCGTCTCTAGCCAGTCGGATAAAACAAAGATATCAAAGAGACAATTGGTTTCATCTGTATCAATGCATAATTCTCTATAACTGCTTCAGCTTTTTTTTAAAATAAAAAAGGAAAAGACAAGCAATAGTCCCAAATAAAAGATACCTGACTCCAGCTACCAGGTGCTGCACATAGATCGACCACACGCTTCACCCCTGCAAATCAGATTGTTATTGAACAAGTAAAGGTGAGAATTTATTAGACCTTAAATAAATAGATAATTTCAATTACAAGTGTCACAGCAAGGAATTCCTATTTGCAAAATTACAGAAAATCTGTGCTTCATGAGAGCAATGAAATCAGTAGACTTCTAGGATGGTTAGACACCTTTAAGTATAAATACATATGAAATAATAAGCAGGGATGGAGCCGACTTGGGCCCATTAAATTTTATACTTATATATATTTACATAGTTTATAAAATATTACATAGTGCGTCCCCCCCCCCCCCCCCCAAAAAAAAAAAAAAAATTTGTTTTTTCTTTCTAAAAAGCTCTCTAATTATTTCTCCCTCATCCTTCTTACTCTTATTCTTCCTTTTTAATTTCTATTTTTATTTTTATTTTTTATTCTCTTCAAATAAATTTCCATCCCCTTCAGGGAAGGACCCAAACCATGAAGTGCGGAGGGGGGAAGGGGGGGGGGCAATTTTTTAGTAATTTCAGGGGGGGGCAAAAGTAATATTTTAAGGGTATATAACTAAAAAAGAATAATATAGTAAGGCATATTAGTAAAAAATATATATATATCGTGTACATAAGGTCTGTCCCTGATTACCTTTATTCAATTAAATCCTTTTTTTTTTTAACATGTTATTTTGACCATAAATGCTTACAGATAGTCTTCCAAAATTAACCCTACATATGCAATATTCCAACAAACTCCATTTTCAGGTATGTGATTGTAGGTATGATTTTTACAAATTTGCGGTGATTTGCAATAAAGAACAAAATGTATAGCACGACCTGGATTGAGTTCTGTGACGATAATCAAACCAATGTGCCCAAAATTATATTAAAGAATTAGCCCCCACAACCAACACAACCACCCACACCCATCCTTTTATTAGATATTCCACTACAACCCCTCCCCCAACAACAACAACAAAAATTCCTGGCTCTGTCCCTGATGATAAGCAATGAATTTTCATAACCTAATTCCTTCAAATAGTAAATGATGGAAAGTAACCAATATTACAAAGACAAGTCAGGTCACACCTTCAAATATGTTGAATTCCTCATCAATCTGAAGGAGCTTGAAGGCACTTCGAGCACGCCAGCCTTCTTCTTTTGCTTTTCGATAGTAGATATCCTGCAAACATGAATACATTTTCAGAAACTGCAACATGAGACAACCCCAAAAATTGAAACAAAGGAAATCAACTGACAAAAATATGACCTTACCCTTTTATCTCTTGAAGCTTTTCCCATCTTTTGAACCCTGTAGGAAGTAAAGGAAAAAAAAATACACATGAAATATTCCATTTATATCATCAATTAATTAATACAAATTATATATAGATGTATATGTATAATTAAACCAAATTCTAAAATAAATAAAACCAATATACCAAAGTCTCTCTTCTTCCAGGCACCATATGTTTCCTTTACATTATATAATTGTCCTATCATGAATTAACCCATGCATCACACAGATTTGTTGCTAGTCATAAGTTCCAACCGGACTTAAATGTGGGCCACATAACACGAGAATTTCCTCAGTAGCTCCACAAAATCCAACCTTCTATCACCCTTTTCTTTTAACTAAACATGCACATACATATACAATCACATCATTTATTGACAAAAGCTCCTAATCGTATCTAATCCGATTGGCAGCTAGGCACTTGCCGTCAATGACTTCTCAAACATGCACTATCCCAATTCCACAAATTATGGTATCTAAGAATCCAACTTCTCTTCAACCTTTTTTCAAACACCTGGTGTGCATTCCCATTTTCAGCCACATGATAGCTACCCTAACGGCGATATAGTCAGAGGGAGCCATAAAACAAAAGTTTTTTTTTTCCCAAGGGAACAATGAAACAAATACATAAATATATATATACACACACACACATACAATAGAGAGATAGTCAAATTCACGTGAACAACGGCACGTAGAGAAAGAGAGTATCAAATTCGCAGCTTCTTAGGAAAAGAGGGTACATATAAAGAGACGGAAAAGAATAAAGATTTTTGAAGGTAAGAGGTACAATTGATAAATTTTTTACCTGGGTTTTAGCTCCAATATGAACCAGAACTCGGAGGTGTTCCAAAGTGCGGGGACGGAGGTGGGCTTCAGAATTTGACGACAATGTTAAAGAACTAATTCGCTAGTATTGCTGCGACGTCGTTTTCCTTAATAGAAAAGGATGATTTTTTTTTTTTTTTTTCCGTCCTGGAAAAGATATACTATATATTTTTCCTAGTTAAGATAAATTAATTGAGTGACGTCAAAAATAAATTATCATGCTGTCCTCGTTATAACAGAAAATTTTCTTTTTCTCTTAATTCAAATATCAAAAAAATAAAAAATATAATGTTGTATTTGAAATTAGAATCAAAGGAATTTACTCTTGAATTTATTTTTTTTTAGCATCCTGTTCAACCATGCTCACCAATTTGTCCACCCCTCTCACACACCATCATAATTCATAATTTCAGAAATCAAAACACCTTTTTATGTATCATTTACGCTTTATTAGAAGGCTTCTATAGAAGCTATAGAGTTTTTTTTATGTATCTAATAGATGCTTATAGAATTTGATGGGGTTTAAAATTTTCAAATGAATTTTTATTGTTTGGAATGAAGTAGCAAAATTAAGAATGAGATTGGATAGGTATAAATTTGAGATAAAAAATTAAAATTTAAAAAGATTATAGCATTTTGTTCTATCAGTGCTAGAAACAATTTTGTCTTCCCCATATTACTAATATCTCTAGAGTTAAATGATTTTATATGACAAAAATTTAATAATAATAATCTAACAAAAATGGTTATTTACTGAGAAAAATTTTAGATTTTACACAACAGTATGTAATTTTATTTCTAATCTTCTTTACTCCAATTTATTTGTCACAAAACTATATTTGATTTCAAAAACAATGATGAAATGGTCCATCAAACTTCGGGCACAATTGAACTTGCTTTATACTTTTACTTTGACCCAAAATGTGTTCAACACTATAAAACTTGTTGAGTTAGTACCGTAAATTTGTTACAAAATTTTTACAAGCAAAAATATAAAAAGTTAAAAATATTGCCATTTCATAATGTATATATTATGCTTTCAATTTTGGCCCTTTTTTTTTTTAAAGGGTTACTAAAGTTCCAAAGTACACCATCAGTTGAAAAGGAAAAAAAAAGGTAGCTGCCAAACGCCCAAAATAAATGCTATTTTTGAAAAATAAATGCTTTTCACCCGTGGATGTTCCAAAATAAATGCTATTTTTGAAAAATCATTATATTTTACACTATCCTTTTTTCTGAGCAAGAGAACACAAAAATAAATATAATAAAAAGAAATTTGAGACATAAAACCATATAATTTCTTTGGTGAGGCGCAAACAAGAAAGTGAGGCGCAAATCATCGTGATGGCAGTGTAGTCCGCATACTGAATAAAAAGAAGATAAAATCCTATATCAGATGGCCATTTAGTATGGAACATAACCTAAGCATATTACAGTTCAACATCATGACAAATCAACAGAAATGATGAATCCCAGGTTTGGAGACCCTGTTATCTCCAGCTGGACTATTAGAATCCAAAATTCTCAAGCTCAGGAACTCTCTGAAGAAGTATATAACACAGGTTATCCCGCACTCAAAACCTGAGCTTTTGTCATACCAGAAAATCCTAATCGCATAACCTAAGTTCAGCTTCCAGCGACTGGTGGTACCGTTGCCGGCTTGGAATCCTCAGCTTTTTCGTGTTCTTTGTTAAGCATCTGGAGGGAAGAAGAATAAATAAATTGAAAACTTAAATATCATCTGAATATATGAAAGCAGTTGCATTAACATTTTAACCATTTAGAGTAACATCAAGATAACTCCAAAATCCATGCGGGTGTTCCCACCGGAAACAAACCAATAGCAATTTATTGTGCATTGCTTGGCATCACCCATTCAGTATGACAAAGACATCCATGCAGGAGAGAGATGAAGACATGCCGATCTAAAACCTTAAATAACATGCGTCCTTAACATGAAATAGAACACCACAAAGTAAATTGTATAACCCACAAACAATTTTATTGCAATTTATCTACACATTCAACTTGAAAACACATCCATACGGCCATAAAGTTATTTTAGTACAAAAATCGTTACTTTAGCATAAAATGAATTTGATAGACAATAGCATGTCACCTTGTTATTGATCAAGTTGTGGAGTGCTATCACACTTCTGATCAGCGATGAAAGATAAATGACCAACATCATATCGTTTGTTTTCACTGCACAAAAACGGGTGGGTGAACATCGACAGAGACGTGAAAGTTAACCGACCTGAAGATACTAGAACCAAATAAATTTTTGCTTTCTTTTTACACTATCAGTAGTAACAAATTATTCACCTGCAAATGCCTTGATTAACTCTGTGACATTCAGATTTGGGAGAAGGTTGAATACATCCTGCAGTTTTTATAGGATCCAAGCACAGAAACGTAAGAAGATAGATTAATAATCAATGAGGACAGCAATTGTTCAAGCAGAATATAAGATGTGTTGATGAAGGAAGCCTTAAAATAAAGGATAAATGAATAAATGTAAACAGCCAAGAGTACTTGTAAATGGTAAAGAATCTCGTGATTTAAAGGAAGCTTCCCATCAATCACAAGATCAAGATAACCACGCATTTCTCGTAATCGTGCATCCAAACCCTTCAAGGCTGCAAGTTTTCCAGTGACCTGTGCAGAAATGGAGTAATTCTCATTAGTCTCCTTTCAATCAGAAGTAGCTTAAATTTACATTTACATGAACTAAAATTGCATTTCAATTTAGTGTTTTATTTATAAACAAAAGAATTGTCTAATATTTTATAAAAATCAAGATCAATTGGTAACCCACAGGAAACAATAAAAGTTTAAAACAGGTAAATTCTTTTGGGGTTCTAAACAAAACTTTTTGAGGATTACAAGACACGTACTGAAATTTTGGTTTTTTTGGGGAGCTAAAAAAAAGGCTAACTCAGTGCACGTGAAACTACTGTCATTGCGGAGTTGGGGGGGCAAACTAGTACTATGTGATTAAAAATTGAGATATTTATAAATAAATTGTAATATGATTTTCTTTATAATATTCTTCTTATTAGTATATTTACTGAGGAAAATACAATCCAAAAAATTGAGAAAAAAAAATATAAAAGAAAATAAGAAAATAAAACAATGATATATTGGAGAGAAACTACCATCAATGAACTTTATATTTTTATTTGACAAGATCTAAGCTTTCAAAAGTAGGATAAAAATGTCCAGATTAAAAAAAATTATGTGTTTTGAGATGACACAAGTTATATTTATTTCTATAATTATTGGGGCCAAAAAATAAAAGTGTTTTGGAATATATATATATGTATATATATATATTTTAGTGTGGTGGGGAGTAAAAATTTCTATGAATTTTGTGGGTTCAAATAGGGCTATTTATATAAAATAACATTTTTGTGGGTGTATAAGAAGAAATTTGAAAAAAAATTGTGTGCGCTGGTAGCTAAATCAATGTGTATACTAAATCGTCATCACCATAGAACTATGAAGGAAAGAAGAAAAATTCATAATTGAAGGAAAGATGAACCAAACCAAGACGTAGCACCACATAATCAGATTAATTTTTAAAAAAAATAAGATCTGAGATACAGAATCGATTGCTTAGAGACATGAATTCTATGAGCCTAACCTAATAACACGCACACACCCTAGGAGGTTTTGAATAACAAAAAAATATAAAATAAAAATATCTCAATCCAACAACAACTGCAGGACCTTTTATACAGTGACGTGGATCTTGTTTTCCAATGTATTGAAAAAAATTACAAGTGTCAGTCGTTTTTTTTCCTCACGTCAAGAAAATTTGTGTGCGTGTGGGGTGGGTGGGGCCCAACCCTAGCTCCGCCCCTGTTCATCTCCAATTTTGTTGCTTTTTTTTTTTTTTTTTGGGGGGGGGGGGGGGGGGGGGTGGTTGTGTGGGGAATTATTCAAAAAAAAAGTTGGTAGTTTTATTTCTTAAAAATTAAAAATACTAGAACAATCCAAACACTATTTTTGACTCAAAAACAACTTCTCTGCTTTTATAAATAAAAAATAATTTTTTGTAAGCACACACAAATGTAGCCAAAGACCCAAATTAAGAGAAAATAGAAAAGGAGCATTCATGAATGAAAAGCTACAAGTCTACAGCTAAACTCAAATAAGTCCTTTCTAACATAAACAAAAAGCTACAATTAAAATGGTGAAGACAGTTTGAAAATATATACATATATATATTAAAAACTTAAATAAGCAAATAAAACCTCATTTGCAAGTGTGCTAATTGTTGTATCCTTCACATCCCTCAGCAGGTGCTCCACTCCTGTCAACAAGTGACATAACAAGTATGAAGAACAGACAATCCACAGCAAAAATCAATTTGAATCATCCTCAATAATTCAAAGAGGGAAAATTTGCTAGAAGGATAAGTAGTTTTTCATCTCATTTAATACCAATTTCCTCAACTTCATGAGCAGCAATTTCTGAAGGCACGTGGACAAAAACCTTCTGGCTTTTCTGAGTTGCATTCTATAACCACAATCAAACAATAGTTCAGTTTAACTTAAAAGTGATGGAGGATTTTTTATCAATTAAAAGCAGAGGAGACAACATTGTGACTTTATAATAGTTTCTCCTTGGGATTCAAAGAGCCAGCCTGGATTATGCAAGTCTGATAACTAATCTCTCCTTTATAACACAACTGATAGACTAGGCTTATTAGATTGAGAAGAAAGCCCAATAATATACATATATATTTATATATATTGGAGTAAGTGAAAGCCAAATAATATTACCTCTTTAACCTCTTCAACGGCATAATAAGCCTTGGTGGGAATTCCAAGCTCCTTAGGTTGGACATCAATTATCACCAAGACAGGATTCGGAACATAACTGCAACAACAAGGAAGCTTGACCAAGAAGGGACACAGACAAGATAAAAAAGAAAGCCACAATAAACAGATTATAATAGAGGGAGGGAGAAATACATATTCACAACAATTGAACTGACAATATTCATTTACAGCTCCAGGATTGTGCTTCAGAATGACATTATTCTATTAATCATCAAGTTCTGTTTAATCTTGAGCCTATACTTCAATTAAGCTTAGCTACCCAGTAGCCATGTACTCTTCTAAACGCTATACTTTGTCCAAGTATTAACAGAGAGACCAATAATTAATATGTAAGTTTTCCACACTCACTTACTGTCGTATTATTAAAACCTGAACTGGCAAGAAAAGCACTATCCTAGACGGCACCATACATATTGCTCAACTAAATTGATATAATTCTGAACCATTGGAAAATTGCTAAAATAGGAAGGAATGTTTCTGATATTTAGAGTAAGAAACAGTTTAAAGGATTCGTTGTTAGTATAGTGGTGACAGTACGCAGTAATTTGGAAACAGTCTGGGCAATCAACAAACCAGAGAAAGTCATCAAAACCAATTAGGTCAGGTTGTTTGCTCTATGCAGGATTTTTCATTTTTCTAATGCTCCGTTTGGTAGGAGGGATGGAGAAATTGAATGGAAGGGAGAGGGGGAGGGATGGATGAGGCATCCCCAGGGAAGGGATGGTGTCTCACTCACTTTTTTTTGGGTTGGGTGGAAGGGATAATGAAATGACAGACAATGTGACACCTTATTTTGTTCGGTTGGAAGGAAGGGAAGGAGAGTTTTTATAATTTTGTAGATAACCGACTGCTAGAAAAGGTATTTTATATTTATAGATTATTTTTTCTATATTTCCCTCCTCTCTTCCGCCCAATTTCAGGCGGATGAGAAAAAAAAAAAAAAAACTATGGCACCCCTCCTTGCTTCCTTCTTCTCTTCCTTCCAACCAACCAAACAAGGGAAGCTTCTTTTATCCCTCCTCTCTTCCATCCTTCCTCAATCATTCCTTCGAACCAAACATAGCATAATATCATAAAATTCAAGAAAAAGGCTTTAAAAAGTATTAAAAGGGCTAAAGAGAACATCTGTGGCAGAGACTCGCAATATTCATGTTACCAGATTTCAACCTCAAGTGTGAGGCTCACACAGGACTTGTACCATGTCTTTGGCATGGTTTATGTTAGAAACATCAACTGACTCACTAACTACAAATTAAGGAACATTTTAAACAACCATAACACGATAACAAATAATATGTAATTTTAGTTTTAATCTTCGAAATCATCTAGCAAGCAGATCTTTGATGACCGAGATGATCGAATGACGGTTTAATTGTTTGCCATTATAGACCTATTGCAAATATGTGGATTAGGTTGACTAGCAAAGCTTCATCAACTTCTGTGTGGTTCATCTCTTACTCTTTGGGGGGTTCATGGAAGACTGCGCACTAGAAATTTAATATCCCTTGTGATATTACTTCATTTGTGGGAACATAACTGTTAAGGAAACTTTTAAGTCATTACTAACAAACAGTGGATTTATCACTCATCCGTATGGCCCCTTTTTGGATCTCACATGCAAAAAAAGTGGACCCTTTGTGGCTCCTTGCTGAACAAAACATCATAAATTTCTATAGATATACAAATTGAAATATTAATGCAAAAATCAAATGGCTGCTCATGGCAGTCATCATTCTCCATGCAAAACCAACCTAACGAGATGGCTAACTAGCAGATTGAGCACAGAACCTATTCAGTCCTATGCAAAAGCTGAAATTTAAGAGAATTTGGGGAACAAAGAAATGGGTGAAAACAAAAATAAATAAACAACTTATATTCCAGACTGGCCAATACCATTATACAACTACCTTACATGGATCAGAGTGATGGCGTTTTATTAGGTAAAAAAACTGTAAAGAGAAGAGGCATCCTAAAAGGATTATGTTGTTGGCAAGTGGGAACCCATCCATATATAAATGGCAAAATAGGAAGACCCAAAGATTGGATGGATCAGAGAAAGGAAAATTAAAAAATGCAAGGTACTTCTAAACACATTCATAAAAATTTTTTCAACACAAGTCTAGGCTTATTCAAAAACAATAATAGGTGATCTTACTCATTAAATAAGCCATGAATATCCAGGTCATTCTCCCGCAGCTTAGGGCCTGTACTGTACCAACCAACGACATGCTCTTTGGCTGTAACAATTAAAAACCAATTCCATAAATTTGAAATTTACCACATTCTAAAAATATCATTAAGGAGATACTTCATTACTGACACAAATCTGAACAAGATATACCATTTATTCTCTTGAACATGGAAAACATTGCTTCATGGTAGTTGTGGTCAAGAAACCATATGCTTGGATCCTTGTCGTCTTCTTCAAAAGGCACTGCAAATATAAAATTCTCCATTTAGAAGTACGAAGAAATTAACACAAGTTATCACATGAGTGATCAGATTTCAGAAACCAAAGTACAACCATAACAGGAAACAGCTATTACCCTGGATGCCACTGCAACCTACTTTTTATCATATCTCATTCTACAAAAATCCCCATCACGTGAATTTGCAATCACATATTAAAACAAACAAAATCTAAAAAATATAATTTATGTTTCACTTTCATGTTATTGACATACAAAGATAAAAAGCAACAAATTACATGAAAAGGTGAAAAAACAAAAATGGTAAAAGAAAATTCTGTACAAGGTAGCGCATAAGAAAACAAGTTCACAAGGTCAAGATAAGATAAAGAACAAGTTCACAAGGTCAAGATAAGATCATATAATATCTAACCAGTTAACACAGTAAGCAACGGTGCATACCACCTCATTTTGGATGTGAATCAATAGCAGCTTGAGAGTTAGACATATCATATTACTATTAGAATGAGGAAAAAGGTAATGGAGCCAATTATCACTGGTTAATCTTAGAGCATAAGATGCACAACCGCAAGAACATTAAAAATAATCCAAAAAATCCACTTCTGGAATAAACATATGTTAACCAATTAAATATGGGCCACTATATGGAACGCAAACAAATAATTTGCCATGGTTTTTAATGGGTGATTGTGGTGATTTGTCACAATGTGGAATGGAATTGATTGGTTCTTTACTATTTTCCTTGCTTCACATAAGTTGGATGTTGCCCAGACCTGCTTTGCTTGTTTCTAAAGAATAGTGGAAGAATGACAAGGATCTCAGTAGAAATGAGATTTTGCAGAAAGCTGCCTTTCATTGTTTGACTTGGTACAATGATTTATGGGTTGCTCAAGTCAACACCATCTGAGTTGGGGCTAAGACAAAATTTTGACCAATATCATAAGACGTGATAATATCATAAGCGAAGACCAAGTCAAAACTATTGTTCCAGTGCACACTACTCCCAACAAGCCCCAAAAGTATGATGTTGTTCATCATTCATCTCAGCAAATTCTGAATTTAACAACTTGCTCCTTTAAATTTTTATCTACTACCACAAATGCTCCATTTTTATGTCCATATTTTGATAGAGTTTAGGAATAGCGCAGCAATTAGTGACGAAATAAGAGAAACTAGACTTAGGCGGTATGGACGTATAGAGCTTAAACCCATTGATGTGCCCGTGAGGAAAGGAACATTAGTTTGCATAGAAGGTGAAAGACAACGAAGCCAATCAAAACTAACATGGAATGAAGTAATTAAAAATGACCTCAAAAAATTAAATATTAGAAGTGACATGAATATAATAGAATAAAATGGAAAAGAGAACTCGTGGCTGACCCATTCATGTGGGAAAAGGCAATGATGATAATGACATTTTGCTAAGAGTTTATGTCCTTTATTTTCAATTTGCCTCATTTTCTGGCCTACTTGCCAACACTTCTAATAATAGTATCTAACAATTGTATCCTTTTACATTTTATGTTCCAAAAGGTGCTAAACTAATACTACTATATTGGAGTAACTTCTTTAACTACAAACATCAAGAATAGGAAGAAAGCTTACCTTTAAATTTTTATCTACTACTATAAATGCTCCATTTTTATGTCCATATTTTGATAGAGTTTAGGAATAGCGCAGCAATTAGTGACGAAATAAGAGAAACTAGACTTAGGTGGTATGGACGTATAGAGCTTAAACCCATTGATGTGCCCGTGAGGAAAGGAACATTAGTTTGCATAGAAGGTGAAAGACAACGAAGCCAATCAAAACTAACATGGAATGAAGTAATTAAAAATGACCTCAAAAAATTAAATATTAGAAGTGACATGAATATAATAGAATAAAATGGAAAAGAGAACTCGTGGCTGACCCATTCATGTGGGAAAAGGCAATGATGATAATGACATTTTGATAAGAGTTTATGTCCTTTATTTTCAATTTGCCTCATTTTCTGGCCTACTTGCCAACACTTCTAATAATAGTATCTAACAATTGTATCCTTTTACATTTTATGTTCCAAAAGGTGCTAAACTAATACTACTATATTGGAGTAACTTCTTTAACTACAAACATCAAGAATAGGAAGAAAGCTTACCGCGTCTGGACACTGATGTGCATCCCTTACATCTCTTAAGAAACACCAAAGAGTTGATGCATCACATCACTACCCTACTATTTACTCCAAGTCATGTTCTTAACTCATAGTATATTGGCAATGGTTTCATGCTTAGAGCTACTTAGCACAACCTTCATCCTCCTTTACATATACATATATATAGACACACAAACACCAAAATTCTTAGTAATCATGTTTATAATTCAAAGGAGTTTGGCAATAGTTTCAAATTTACCATTAGGAATATAACTCAACCATCCTTCTCCTTCACATTATGTAATAAAACCAGCGGCAAAAACCCTAATTTAGTTCTATATAAGCAAATTTGTCAGGTTATGCTTTATAATAGCCAAAAAGAATTCAAGGCATTTTCATTAAACTATACAAATACAATAACGGGTATTTCTCAGTGTTATCATCACAGTTCAAACATATACATAAAGATATACATACATAAATATAAATAATAGAAATTTAAAATACAAGAATACGGAGTTAAATTGGAAGCAATGAGTTCAGATCTGAATAGAATGAAAACAATTAGGGACAAAAGGCGATAATAGTGGAGAGGACGAACCAGCGTAGCTGTTGGTGACATCGACGGTTCCTTTGAAGGAACTGCCGAGGAGGACTCCGATGACGCGCTTGCGAGTGTCCTTGGCGACTCTATTGTAGTTGTCGACAATGCTGAGCAGCACCAGAGGGTGCACTATCACCTTCTCGATCGGCCTCGCCGATATCTGCTGCGACTTTATCACGTCCATCGCTGGTTAATCGAACGAATCGTCGTCTTCTCTGACAAAACCCTATGTGGTTTTTCCCTTTCCTCTTCCTGAGTTTTGAGTTTTGTTCAAGAAAGGAACCTTCAACACTCGTGTTTTAAAAAGTATATATACGCAGCTGTACATTATATTACACACACATGTGTCGGGCTTAGAGTGTTTGACCCGAATTTAATACGGGTATGTTTGCATGGTTGCTCTCAGTAGGGCTGCAAACGAGCCTAGCCGTTCGCGAACGGTTCGGGCTCGGCTCGTGAATTACTCGACTCGAACTCGGTTCATTTATAAATTATTCGAGTTCGAGCCAAATTATGAGACTCGATTTATAAACAAAACGAGTTTAAACATCAATAGGCTCAACTCGTTTGTTCATGAACCGTTCAAGAACTGAGCTCGATAAGGCATTCACGAACATACTCGATTATAATGTATATCTGCATACATATCCAATTATAATATATAGTTTTATGTTATAAAGGCTTAGTCTACAGGCCCATTAAACTTTTTAGTTCTTTTTGTTTTAGACCTAATTTTATCAAATCCATCCGTGCAATCCAACCCAAGCCCATGTCTTATGTCTAACCCTAATCATCTTCCCTTTTTCTAAAATTATTAGTAGCCCAAACAGCAGCGGCAACACACTCAACAATCTGCTTTCTGTCATCGAATCTTACTTCTCTCTCTTTCTCTTCTTATATTTTACCATCTTATCAAACAGAAGCGGCAACACACTTATGTATTAATCGTCTTTCATCCAAACTGATTTTTAGTATAAATTTTAGGGTTTACTATTGATCTGTGCATCTCTCAACTTCTTCTATCAAAATCAACTCTACTAAATTTAAGTTTCAATCAAATTTATCACTTTATTTATCTTTTTCTCTCAAACTTCTCTCTTTTTAATGCTGCAAATCTATATCTCTCTCAAACTTTTTTTTTATTTTTTATCTTTTGTTCCATATCTATTAGATGCGAAGTGTAAGACCCTAATACAAAATTAATTACATTAGCATTATTTAAATTTAATTAAACATGATTTATATATGAATATTTTAAGGAGTGGTTGTTTCATAAAATTCTTGTTGTGTGTTAAAACTACTAAGTAAGCTAGTAGTCTATATATATATATATATATATATATATTAGTGTGTAATACCCCTAGTTTTCAAAATGATATAATTGAAATTTAATTTTTATTTTCTTGTGTATTTTAATGGTTTATGTGGCTTGATGGTAGGTGTTTAATTGATTATTTGGTTAGTTGTAATTATTTAATTGTTTAATTGTTATTTTGTATAATTGTTTAAATTGTTTTACTTATTTAATTGAAATAAATGTTTATATTATTTTTATTTTTAAACGGAGTTGGACTTGGATAGGATCAATGGACTATTTGAATAGTGTAAATGGGTACAGTTTTTACCCATGGATGGATATACATGTATATATGGATATATATGTATTTTGGGTTAGTTTAATTATTAGTAATTGTTAATAATTAAATTTGCTTCTTTATTATTATTATTATTATTATTATTATTATTATATGTATTATCAAGTTTTAGGATTTTAGATATATTCATTAAAATTGTCGATTTATATACATATGTGTATTTTATATTTTATTGCTGTGTTTTCTTTGCCGACTCCTCACATGAATAGAATTAGGTTAAAACTATTTTGCCTATATATATATATATATATCGTATTATGTTTGCTTAGGGTAAAAAACACAAACCCTATTCACGAACAGTGAGGTTTGAGAGAAAACAAAGAGAACGAGTTAAGATTTGGCCAAGAACAAGGGCTAAACCGAGGAGGGGTATTGGACGCTTGCTTGTGGGTTGAACCAGGAGCAATAAAGGAGTTGAGAACAGTCCCAGATTGCCGGAAAAATTAGGAAGATGACGTTAAGGTTTCAAAACTGAAATCAGAGGCAAATTCTATTTCTTGCTATTTTCCTTTGACTTGTGTTTTGTGCATGCTTAGATAATCTCCAAGACTAAATTAGATCTTAAAACGGAACTTGTATGTTTATTAATTCAGATATTTAACTGTATTGTCTTCTATGAATTGAAATTAGTTATTACATAAATTGTTTTGTTTTATGTACTCTGAATTGTTGTTTATGAAACATACTGTGTTTTTAATTGTTCTGGAATAAATTCGGGCATAAATTGAACTCCTAGGAACCCTGTTAAAAAATTACAGAGGTGTTTATACATGCCGGAGACGGGGACGAAGGAGTAAAACAGGAAAAAACGGGTTCAGGGCTCTTAAAGGGGGAGAGAGCTGACTACATGGAAGTGGAAGCCAGCCCCTCAACTGAAGAGCCGACTCCAGGTGATGAGGAGCCTGCTCCCCTAAGTGTAGAGCTGGCTCCAAGGTCTAGGGAGCCGACTCCAAGGGTATATTAAGCCTGCTCTCTTGTTTTAGTGCGTACTGGAGTTAATTTGGGCACTGTTTGGATAATTTGGGTTTATCGAACTGTTTTGGGATATTAATGAGGGTTCTAAATGTTAATTCATGGTGTATTAAAACCCTATGATGCATAATTTTTTATTGATATGCTAATGGATTTAACAGTATGAAAGTTTAAACAATTGTGCATGTTGTTAACGGATATACATGATATAATTGCTTAATTTTATTTTAGCAATTTAACGGACTGTAACATGATTTTTAAATCTGTATTTGTGATACCCCTCAATTCTAGAACCACGGGTGATCAAGTCCGGGCACAGATCCGAAGGATACCAGACAATCAATATATAAACAAGCAGGAATAAAATTTGAATTAAGAATAAAATAACAAAACGCTGAAAGAATTCTAAAATAAAAAAATCCTCAACTTAAAAATAATAAATTAATAACATTTAAATCCTTCAAATCCGTACAACTCGGGAATCCATCTAGTGGACCCCTAATAATTCCAACTGGTAAAACATTTACAGAATTAAAATCCAAAACCAAAATAAGAAAGAAAATCCTATGTAGTCGGAAGAGTGAGTGACTGTATCTGTATCACCACGATCAAACCCTAAGCCTGGTACTCACGAACACCTGAAAAATAAAGGTGGGTCAGGCCCACATGCAAGTTCCATCCTACTACAATCCGTACATAAACCCGATACGCAGATACATCCTAGATAGCTCGGCAATATCTACAATAGTCCATAAATATATATATACACACTATAGGATGTTCACTAGCCTATAACATAGTTCAGCCTGGGTAGAAGGTGACATATAAAACACGCTTTTTAGCGGCCAAGTACCTAGACCTACCAGGGAACATTAGCTATATATAGCTACTCAACCTTTGCAATATACACACCCTAACCGTGATCAGGAGACTCAAGCTCGTATCACGGTATCATAAATATATATATAAATTTTTTCCTAATGCAGAAAAATAAAACAAACATCCGTTATGTCGTTCAACTGTTTTAATTGACAGGACATGCATCCATGTAGGATTTAACTATTTTAGTTAATCCATTCCGTATGTATGAAAGGGGTAGGACTTAGCTTTTTGATCTAATCCATCCCTGATATGTCACCGTCCCATACCGGTACATATAATGCAAATGATCCACAAATGATGCACATTCATTAGAACATCAAATAAATCCAGAAACCAGCATAATAGAAAACAGATATTATTAAGATTCTATTATGCATCCAGTATATGATTATAATCATTAATCCTCCAAATAAATTGTTAAAGTATTGATAAACAATTTATATTATCCACATCCATACAATTGATAAAATAGTTCATCAATTAACATCCATAACCTGTTATAATGATCAGTCAGAAATATGAACTAAATACATTATACTAGATATCCCAAACCATCCTCTCATACTATATTATTTAAATTGCCAAAACAAAGACAAGTAATGAAATCCTCCACAATCCTTAACAGCATAAAAGTTAGCATTTACACCACATGACGTCCCTTTGATCCTCCACTCCAAAACCTGTGCCTGATATAATATGACACTCTGAATTCCAAACTGCTCATTATATAAAACCCCAACAGTATTCCCATACTAGTCCATTTAGTTCGCTAAACCAAAACTAGCAACTAAAATTCCTACCACTCCTGACAGCATACCATTTAATATCTAAGTTAATACTGTCTATGCCCATATCCTACACCGAACTTTCTGGCCTCCATTAAAGTATATAAATAATTTATATAACATCCCAAAAGTAATTCGATACCAGTCAGTTTAAGTTATTAAAACAAACTTATTAACTTAAACATTCATCCTTCCTTGACAGCATGCATATTCCACGTTTCTGTTTCCTGATGCCCCTTAAGATTAGCACCCTAGCATAAACCAACTATTTAAGGGTCTTAATAGGTTAATTTTAACATATTTGAAACCCCCTTTAATTTTCAGTATTTGCGTTTCACCCCAGAACTCCGAAAAAATTACAGAAAACACCCCGTATGGGTTTTTTTCCCATGGGAGCCGGCTCCCCTTTATTGAAGCCGGCTCCTAGGCTTCTAGAGCCGGCTCTCCCTCATGGAGAGCCGGCTCTCTCTTCATGGGAGCCGGCTCTCACCATTTAGAAGCCGACTCTCACCCCTGAGAGCCCCTCTGCCTCGTCTCTACTTCGTCCGATGATTTTTCTGCGTTTCCGGCGAAGTCCGACGTTCCTGTCCCAAGTATTTTAACATTCCTAGGATTCAATTTAAATCCTTAAAGCCCTAGAAACTTCTCACCATCCAGCATGCATTAATTGACAAAAATCTAAAACAAAAACAAAACTGTATCCAAAAACGCCAATCACAGTTAACTGAACATATGAACAATCTAAAGTCTGATCACATGTGTCAAAATTCCATTATAAAGGTTAATTAACTTCCTAACCATCCTAACAACACCTCACATTGCATTATGAATTAATTTACAGAGGTTTAATACATAATCTAACAATTTATGCAAGGAAAGCCATCTTCAGTTATTATACGTTAACCAAATTTCAGACTAAACTAATATGCATAAAATTTGTTTTAAAAGTTTTAATTAAATTCCTGGAGTCTATTTAGAATGCACAGAACA